TGCATTATGCGAGGCTGCTTTTAACAAGGAAAGCATCTGCAAAAGTTTGCTTTAGACAGCTTGTTGCTCGACGGTGAACCTACTTAAAAAAAAAAACAAACACAACTGCCTAGATACGGAGTGAATGCAGGCTGGAAATATTAGAAAGACTGGTAAAGACTTTGGGAAATAATAGCTGTATTTTCGATAACGCGGAATGGGGGTGTTGGGGGAGGAGGTTGGAGGATTACTATATCAAAGGCTGGGGGGAAATATAATAATAATAGTAATAATAGTAACAACAACAATAACAACTCCGAGAGGAAAGGGAATGGTTTTTCTCTCCCCTGTTAAAGCAGTTTTGCAGGTATTTTTCCTCCTTTATTAAACTAATCACTGTTAATATCAAGGTATGCTAGTATTTCTCAAGCTAAACGAGTAGCAGGACAACTGGATATTTTACTCTTTTTTTGGTGTTGAGTGTGCCGAGGTGACTAAATTTGCCTTGTTGAGCCTTGTAAAATCCTGACTTAATCATGTAAACTTCTGTGTAAGCAAAATAGACGAAACTTCAAAGGGTCAAAAACCCTTTAGGGATTTGCGAGGAGACGCCAGCAATAGATCCTAATCTGCCTCCAGAATCCTGGCTGTATTTATCCAAGGAACTGGTACCAGCAAACTCTCGAAGGTAGAGATAGTGGGTTGATTCAGCCTTTATCCCCTTAGAGAGTATTGGCTTTGTGAGGCTCTAGGCAGCGCTTCAACGCCAGGGGATCTTGCCCAAACCCTCTAAAAATGAAGTACAGGAGTAATTTGAGATAATGACTTTGTAACAGGCTTGGGCAGACCTTGGACAGAAGAAGTGAGAGATGTTATCACTCCAGCATTCCTCTTAAAATGCAGTTTTTCCCCCTGCTTATTCCCAGTTAGTCAAAGCTACATTAACATTCCATCCAGGGCTGCTAAACAGAATCTTAATTAGTCCTGATACTCTTGTGCAAGGGGTTTATTCATTGCACTCTTAACTAATGGTTGCTGTCAGAGTATTTTTTTTCTTCTTTGGGTTCTTTGGGGATATCGTGTTCTGCTGCAAAGCATGACAGAAATGTAATGTGCGTGCAAAAAAAAAAAAAGCTTGCAGATCTGACATCTTGAGACTGAGGCTGACTCCAGCCTTGCCTAATGGCGAAACATTGTTAGGACTAATGAGAATAACTTCACCAATAGAAATATCTCTGCCTCTTTTTTATCTTAAATTTTAATGGTACACACTCTCTCGCTCTTTTTTTTTTTTTTCTTTTTTTTTTTCCCCGGTGACAGAAAGCGACACAAACTTGTTACTGTTTTGAAGCAGTTCACGCAATTCCCACTAAATTTGCAGCCTTCTGTACTTTGCATTAGCCACCCGTGGCTCGGTATTTAATGAGAGAGTCTGTAGGTGGAGAATTAACAAGTTACTAAACGGCCGGTTGCTCCGGCAGGAGCCTTTTTTCTCTGCGTTATACTGTATTTGTAACCCCGCGTTGCATTCATTCCTCCCTCTGACAGACACAAACACATACAGACACCCCTCACATACACACACACCCTCACACCCCACTTTACAAGCACACAAGGGTCTCTCTCCCCGCAACTCGCCGACACGGAGTGGCTCCTGTGCCAGAGAGGCGCCCATTTGTGTTCTGTACACATTTGATGTGAGCATCCCTCAAGGCTATTTGCGGCTCGGGCTGAATCGTGACAACGAACAGCCACAGCAGACCCCACTAAAACCAAGTAGAGGGGCAGTAGGGACGCCTCGCCATCCCTGCTGCCCTGAGGCTGCCGTTCCTTTCACCAGCCGCTGCAGAAAGGCGTTATTTGCCTGTAAATCTGCGTTCAGCTACACCGATCTCGGAAACAGATTTATAAGACTATAAATTACCGTTTCTTTCTTTCGGGTTGGGAGAAGAAAATGAAGAGGAGACGGGAAAAAAAAAAAAAAAAAAGGGTGGGCTCTCCTGCAAATAGGAGGTCCGTGTTACTTAGCTGCTGCTCACCCCTGTTAAAGGCTCCTTCCCATAAGCTTGCGTAACATTGATTACTCACAAAGAGTTCACAATAACTATCATGTAGCTAAACTAATTGAGACAATCATGCTAAGTTATAGTCAGTCTAAAAGGTACCATTGATGTGGTAATGCCTATAGAAAGTCAGACATGCGACTCACTACCATTTAATTGCTCCTTTAAACCTGTTATTACAACGTTAACTGGCTTAAGTATATATTGCTGCCTTTTATTGCCTTGATGTGACAAATTAAAACATACACTCTGGAAGCGGCATTCATTTGCGTACGGAGTTGCAGGAAAAAGGGAGCCGGGCTATGTCAAACCTGTCAGGATGAATTAATTTTAAAACTTGCATTTTGCACTGCAATTCCCACTGCAGTTTTGTTGCACGGGGGAAATATTTTTATATATAAAACATATTACTATTATACATAATACTATCTACGTGTATTCCATCTCACGCAGATCTGCCATAAGAAGAGCCCCACCGCTCTAAAAATGTGCTTTTGCCTGCGAGACCTCGCCTGACGCTAAATTAATAGGAGAGCTGGAAGGAAGCTGGAAGGGGGGGAACGGTGGAGTTTCTACCTCGGCTCAACACCACTGGCCTTTACGATGCTGAGGTGGTGGTGGAGCAGGAAGGGGCTTTCCAGTGCTTCCCTCGCCCTTAGAGGCCAGGTCCCGGGCCTGGGGAGGAGGGAGTTCTTCACGCCCCAAGACCCGGGAACAAGGCGGCAGCCCCACTCCCTGAGGGCTGTCCCTTCGCTGCTCTTCTCCACGAGGAATCTCTACCGGGCTCCCGCAAGGAAGGAAAAAATAAAATGTAATAACCAGTTCTTACTTCCCCATCCCCAGGGCTGAGCCGCGCTCGGGATCTTTTAAATGCACGAGATTTCGGCTCTCCCGCCCGGCACCGAGCCGTTCCCTGCACATCCTACGCTGGCTGGGCGGGGGTTCCGCGGGCTCCAGGTAAAGCGCTCCCTTCTCTTCCCTCCCTTTCCCTTCCCCAGGGCTATGGTGAAGGCATTGAGATGTCAGGGGGGTTAAAATGTCCCACTCGCCTTCTCCCTTGATCTCGGGGAAAGAGGTAAGAGTTGCTGGCACCTTTACGGGACTCAGACCTGCTGCGGCTGCGAGAAGCGTTGGCCCCCGCTAACTTTGATCGGCCTTATTCATCCCAGCTGCGCTCTATTTGTTTGTCATTTCGCCCTTTTTTCCCCCAGAATCGTTATTTATGTTCTGAAAAGTGAAAAGTGCCTCGGTTTGACTTTACATGGACTCTCGCAAACGAGAGGGGACATCTCCCTCCTTCCCCTCTCTGCGAGGGAGCTGCCAAAAGAGAGGGGGAAAAACTGTTTCAATCATTATCAAATCAGCTTTGCATTCATTACTCCAGAGCATTAACTAATTACCAGATCAGAGAGAAGAAAAAATAAATATTCCTTTAAATAACTGAAGGTAATTATAACCCTGTTGTTGACACTAACGATTAATAATTGATCAGAAGTTATACACAATAAATTGTCAATTTATCTCCCCATACAAATGCACATTTTTTTATTTTTTTTTCCCCTGGGCGATTTGTAAGAGCCGGAGCAGCGACAGTATCCACACACAGCCGCCGCACGAGGAGCATACTAGTATTACTGAGTTTGGAGGGTTTTTTCCCTCTGAAATAATCGGGAGTATTTTGAAATCCCCCTTCACGGATAATACAAGTTCGGGTGGAGCAGAAGTGACTTTCGCTGCCGGCCTGCGCTTCTGCCTTTCCAAGGAGGGCAGGGCCGGGGTGACAGGCCCGTCCTCCGCTTCTTTTTCTTTCAGTCCCCAGATCCAGAGAGGAGAAAAGTTAATGGTGCCCGTCCCACCCCCCAGAGGCAAAGCGGCCGCGTTCCTCCGTCCCCTACTTAGGCTCAGGGAAAATGCAGCCTGCTCGGCCCGGATTGGATGTGAAATAGTGTCATTCCTCCGTGAGTCACGGTTGAGGAGGATGGGGGGGGAGGGTCGAAGTAAGGGGGGATACGGGTCCAGATTGAGGGAGCCCAGCTGTCACCTCTGCCAGGGAGCTCACAGGTAAAATGCTCCCCCAGCGCCTGTCACTGTCCGCAGCCCCGAGGTGCGGGCATGTATCCTGCCGGTCGCCCCTTCCCTCTGTACTTTCAATAAAGACTGCTTCAGAGCCGCCGAGTAATAGCCAGGGATTAGGTGCATGGGTGCTTTGAATATTCACCGAGGATCCCTTTGTTTCTTAACTTTTTTTTTTTTTCCCTTTCTTTTATTTCTTTAGAAGCCGGAAGCATACCCGAGTTATTAGCTACTGGATTAAAAACAAAGAGATGAACATCATATTACTTAATAGGCAGTATTACTGCTAATAGCAATTTTTTTTTACCATTATTACTCAGTACTTACAATAGAACGGCTCTTTTAGACTACCTGGATCATGAGAAGTTTGCCCAAGCACATGAGAAATGTCTGAATGCAGAAGGCAAAGAATCGACCTTCATGTAAATTCGTCTTTTTTTTTCCTTTGCCCTTTTTTTTTTTTTTTCCCAAAAAGGTAATAAGCAATAAGATACTCCCAGTATTGATTACATCCCTGCCATGGTTCCTCAGCGGCGCGGTGAGTCTGAACCGCCTTTAAGTGAGATGTAACATGTGACGGAGGCAGAAACTTTCAGTGGCGAGAGGGGTTGGGTTTTTCTTTTTTACCCTGTGAGGCTGGGCCCAGAGAAGCCGGGTCGAGCCGAGACGGTCCGCTCCAGGCTGTCGGTCCCGCTCCCACTACTCGCAAAGCGGCTCCCATCTGCCCATCGGGAACTAATTGATGGCCCATTAGGGGGGTGGGTGCCGCCAGGTACAGTTAAATCAGACGCTGCACCTTGCAATTTGGTGGTAATGGTTTTGTTGCTATTTCTCCCCCGCCGCATCCTCCCGCTCTCTTACAGGGGCTAAAATGCAAATGAAACGCAGTTTAAAATTAACTTTCCCCTTAGCAGGGCCCGTTCCCCTCCAGCCGGGAGCTGGTGCACAGCAGCAATTCCCACGTCTGTCTGTCTATCTGCTGCCGGCCTGCGCTGCATGTTACCTCCGTCCTCATCCCTTCCCCCAATCTCCAGCTAAACAAAGGTGGGCGACGATTTTTTCCGCTCTCCAAGGCAGTTGGTGAGCAGCTTTCCTGAAACAATAACTCTTTTATTGAGAACAAATGTTGACATTTGCAGGGAGCGAGGAAAAAAACAGCCCAGGAAGTGCAAAGTGGAAAGCGACCCTCTTCCTATTTGACGACACCGCCAATTCCTCCGGGATCCCACCTGAGATTAAAGCCTGAATTTCAATAAATCAGCTCTAATGAAACCTCTGGCCCCGAAGAGGGGAGGGTTTGTCTTTCCCTCTCCGAAACGAGCACAGAAAAGAGAGGAGTGGGTGGGGAGTGAGTAAATATAGAAAGGGGTGTGTGGTTTTAATCCCAGTGGGCTGATTACTATCGTTATGAAATAAACTGTACACCAACTGATGTATTTTATCGTTCATCCCTCTTTCTCCCTATACTGAAACAGTCACATTGTTTGTGCCAACAATCTTGCAAGGCTACACTTCCCTCCTGCTTTCAATTTTGATAATTAAATCTCAAATGACGTTGAATATGCAGTTCTTGCCCATTAATTTCTGTTTTGAAAAAGTAAGTTTATTTGCCAAATCGTTTGGGTGTCGCCCATCTGCATCCATGAACAGTTCGTGAATTTCTCAGAGGATGAGAGAAGTCCACTGGGTTTTACATACATAGTGAATAGTTAAAAGCGAGTTTTCCAGGTCTTTCTACTTTTCTTTCCAGAAAGAAATCCAGGTCTAAATACTAGTAAGGGTGGGTAAATTATGGAAATCTTTTATAAGTCTTTGGGCGTATAAACATCAAAGGAATGTCGTTAGCCTTTTTAATCTCTGCCACAGCTTTTGGTTTTTACCAATGGAAATGTGCACGTTGTGTCCAACAGAGACCTGAAACATAAAACGTGGGTGGTGGGGGTGGATGGGTTAGGAGGAAGAGGGGGGGAAAGAAAGTCCAGGCGTCTCTCCCGGCACAAGAAGTCCCTCGGTAAAATCTTCCTCAAGTGCACAGTAAAGGCGGCCAAGGAAGTTTACAGTAAGTATTTGCATCTACATCGTATGCTAAATTGGAGGGGAAAAGCTGAATTATTTCTTAGCTGTTTCTCTAATTGTACTACACACTGCACTCAGATACAAATGCATTTTACCTCAATGAGAAACAGAATGTTACAGGAGCAGAGAAACAACATTCTACAAACAACGTCAGAAGAGTAGGCCTCCAGCTGCAAAGATCTTCAGTGTTTTCTATTTAGCTAGATGGATTCCAGAGTTTTCCAGAATTAAAATATTAATTTCTGCACTATCAGCTGAAAAACACATGCACTTTTTCAGCCAGTTAGAACTCTGTATAGGGGTAAAATACGAAGGACGTCTGTGGAGGGTGTGCAGGGGAAGATGGACCATGGGAATTGTGCGTATATATTTAAGAAAAACAGCTTCCTTTTCCCCTATTTAATACAATCACAACATATTTCCTGACTCCAGACTAGCACAGATCCTTATCCAGTGAACATTCCCAAGGCTGATGCCTGAAGTATCTAAGATCACTTTCAAATGCCCTTTCTAACAAGACCTGAGCAAGAGGCCACTAATTTTCACTGAACAAAAAGCCACTGGAGAGAGATCCGTTTGTCAATATCAACTGGTCCAGCAATTTCCCATCTTCAGACACATCAGCCTATCTGAGCTGGCAGATGTTTAGACAAGATTTTATAAATTGTTCAATATCAGACCATAATGAACCCCAACTGACCATTCCAAAGCAGCTAAAAGCATTCAGGATCTCCCCTGCTGGGATCTAATAATGCTCTCAAGCTGGAACATTATTAATCATGGAATAAAATAGATGAGCCTCTTGAAAAATAAGTGTATGATTGATTAAAGGGCAATCTAAGAAGCTATTATTCTTGTTTTATAACCGTAAGTTATATTCACTCAATTTATCTTTTGGGGAAAATAAATGATTGTTCGTTTCTTTTCTGAAATTATATTATATGAGGATTTCCATTATTTTACTGAAAATGAAACTGATCAGCTAGCTGATTTTATGAGCCCAACCAAAGTGAATTTCCAATATGACTGTAAAGGTACAGTTTACGGATATAAGGAAAAAAGGGGGGAAAATAATAAAAAACAGGAATTGGACTTTTCTATCTTCCTTCTCCCGGCCCCCTTTTGCATATTTTAGCTAGAAGCAGAAACAAAGAAATTAGAAATAAGCCATAGCTGATTATAATAATTCTTTTTTTTTTTTTCTCCTTAGAAATGGTGGAGTTAAAGAACGTTAACTCAAATAAAGAGCTACTTCACACCCAACATAGTTTATAAGAAACATGCATGTATTCACATCACTCTCCCTCCGCATATGCATGCATATATACAAATACTATTTGCATACATGTGTGTATTTAAAGCTTAAGTATAACGGAACAACCCAGAAGGAATTAATTAATGCAAGGCATATCTTTGCAACATATTTAAATTACTTACTCATTTTATGGTCTAAGCTCTACTAGAGAAATTACAACTTTCGTCATTTTCTAAATAGTAGATTACTATTTGGAGGGAAATGAACAAAAACCACCATATTGTTGCAGACTAGTCTGTTTTTATTTACAATTAGAGATATAAATTAGTAAAGAATTCTCGTTAAACAACCAAAGATTGTATAACCATCAACATTTCAAATAAAAACCAGGCAAAATTTATTTACAAAAAGTTCAGATTCCATTGCAATACAACTTGCATAAATTACTAGAAGCTTTATATCGTTACAAAAATAAATATCAAATTTGTTTCCACTTTGTAAGGACTCAAGTTCTCCAATCACGTCTTTATTATCTCTACTGTATACATATTTTACAAATAAATTTTACAATAAATCCTATCACACCTATCGAATAGATACCGTGGCAATGAAGTGATCAATTCAAGATATCCTGAGAAAAACAGATCTGTTTTCAAAAGTCACACATACATTGGGGAAGCTATACTATACCAGCAAACTCACGTATGTCCAACAAAATTCTGGTTTAATAATTAGAGTCTGAAGATCTAATAGTGCTCTGTGGTCTTCTTTTATACAGTGGCACCACATGTGATCCGGATTTAGAGATTTGTTATATATATTAGCTCGGGGAGAGATGATGGCTTGCTGACTTTTTTCAAAGCAATTGTGACACCTACCTGTGGACCAAGGAAAAAACCAGATCATCCAAAAATCCTTCAATCACACTCTAACACCATTAAACGGAGGAAACGATAAAAAAAAAGGGGGGGGGGGGAATGGGGGAAATTACACATCTAATTTCTTCTAACAAAAGAATTAGTAAAAAGAAAAAGAAAAATCGTAGAGACGAGGGGTTTTGTTGTTTATTTAGCCCTAAAGAGTGAAGGTATGAAGCGTGCCATTGCTAGCCAGACAAGAGGCAATCCACAGATAACATGCCCTGCTTAAGATGTATGTCGGTCTCTAATAGTTGTCCCTTTTTATTTTAAATATACGGTCACTGTGGGAAGCCTCACTCTGAATGTACAATTTTAGCACTGCCACGTGAGCACAAGCACTTTGTTTTTAAACAATAATGCCTTCAAAGATTTTATTTTTTCTCCCCTAAAGCTCTTTCCATAACATTTAAATAGCCCTTACAGCTTTGCCTTACAAAAGCGAAGAGCAGGCAAGGTGAGGGAACTGTCTAACTTGGCTTTCAAATTGAGACAAACACGAGAAAGAAAAGTCATAATGAGAGGTTTACAAAACCAGAAGAAAAGAGTGTCTTACTTCATAATCAGGCTCTTCAGTAATGAAGTAAGAAATTAACGTTAAACATGTCTAGAGCTGTGCAGCATGTCTGAGACCTGGTGCCAAATGACCAGTGTAATAGAAAATGTTCTCACTTACTTGCATTGCTGTGTGATTGCACTTCTATAGGTATGGTTGTACTCCTACTGTGCAGACTTCAGTGGGATCTGTCAAAATATAACCATCAGTTAGTCACAGGACACAGCCAGCTAACTAGATTATACAGTGTGTGTAGGTCCCAGCCTTCACTCTCAGCTAGGTCATTTAAAAGGCTGGCCAGTATTTTATAATTACCCGTATCTCGAGTATTTTGTTAGAGTAAGATGAGTATTATATTAAAGCAAAACTTTTTTTTGGGGGGAGGGGGGGTTTAAAAATGTCATGCTCCACGTAATTTCATGTCCAAGGTCAGCAATTATCTGAACCCAAAGCTGCAGAAACCTGTGAGAATACTGGAAACAAAGATAGCAAACCAGTTCGTCGGAGGGAAGGGGGGGGGGGGGGGAATATAATAGGCCCAATGACACCAGTGCTGTATGGATATCTTTGTGTGGACTTTTTTCTTTTTAAAAAATATGACTTTTAAAAGCTTCCTCTGCATCCTGTGAAACTGGTCTAAAAGCGGTCTTTTGTATTTCCTCTAGCGGTTCTTAGAGACAGGTGCGATACGACGGCGACACCGTTTTTAATCCCTGGATCGTACTAATGCCCATCTTCCCTCGGCGGTGGCAGCGGTGACAGCGCTCTCGCTGATTTCTCCAGAGGAGGCTTCGGTATTTACAGCGTAGAAAAGACTTGTACGGGTCAGGGAAGGGGGGGCAGGTAGAAAGGGGAAGAAAGCGGCAAAATCAAGTCACCTACCTTTCTTAGAGTCATAACTAGAGGGCCTGTAATGTTGTTCTAGCTGGTTAGTGATCGTTTTCAAAGAGTCACTGCTCTGTTTGTGAACAGAGCTGGCGTTTAGGACAGTCTGGCTTAGTCCCTCGTTTGAAGCCACTGCTGCGGAGTTGTATCTCAGGATTCCCTGGCTCTGGAGAGCGTTAAAGTTCCCATAGTTTGTATAATTGCTATAAAAAGGTGAGGTGTAATAAATATGCCTTCCCAGGAGGGAGGAGGACGAGTAGGCAGCGCTGTGCGGGGCGGAGGCAGGGGTGGCCGAAGAGAGAGGCGCCGGCTGGCACCCTTGACCCAGGGTCTGGCTCTTGAGGTCCGACGTGGCGATTTCAGCCAGCGACCAGAGCTTGGGCTTGCTGGCCGGCGTCGGAGGCCCGGGCGAGGAGCGGCCGCTCAGCGCCGCCTTGCTGGCGCTGCGGGCGGCGTCGGCGTGCGGGTGGCCGAGCAGAGGGGCCTCCACGGCGGCCAGCGGCGAGGAGGTGGAGGTCTTGGCCGGCGGGTCGCGCTCCCCTCCGCCACCGCCGTCGTCCTCCTCGATGTCCTCTTCTTCCTCCTCGTCCTCGTCCTCCTCCTCTTCTTCGATGTCCTCGTACTTGTCCTTGCACTCCGAGCCTGACTCGCAGAGGGGGTCGCCCGCTCGGCAAGGCAGCTTCTCGCCGTCCGACTCGGCGGAGCAGGAGTGGTCCGTCAGCGAGTCGACTTGCAAGCTGATCCCTGCAAGGGTCCGCCGGGCCCAGAAAGACAAGAGTCAGTGAGGGGGAGGGAGCGGCAAAAAAAGCCCAGAGAGGGCTAGAGGCAAGCACTGCCGCCACCACAGCAGCAGGCAGAGACGCTAGGCGTCCCGGCCTGTTCCCTACAATCCCCTTTGCAGGAGCACCCATCCCCGCTGCTAGCACCGCCGCGGTACCACACGCTGTCCCTTCTGCCCCCTCCACGGCTCCGTCACCCGCCGCACCCTACCCGCTCCGGCTACCGGCACTGCGCGGGTACAAGCGGCCGGAGGGAGCAGCCGGAGGAGACGGGATGGGTCACGTTTTGGGGTCGCTTTTGTTAAATACCGCCCCCCACGTACACCCTCCCCCCCTTTTCTTCTGTCCCGCTTCCCGGGGGAACTCTAAGGGATGGAATGGGAGTACCCCTCCACGGCAGCAGTCACCCTCTCCCACCTTCGTCCTCCGCGGAGGTTTCGTTGCTCTCGGGCATCTTGTCGGGACTCTCCTCTTTACTCCTCGCCCCTTCGCCTTCGTCGTCATCCTCGTCCTCGCTCTTGTTCCGCGGGGCCCAGGTCATCTTGTTCTCCTTCTTGAGCCTCCGACGGGCATTGGCAAACCAGGTGGAGACCTGGGTGAGGGTCATCTTCGTGATGATGGCCAGCATGATCTTCTCCCCCTTGGTGGGGTAGGGGTTCTTGCGGTGCTCCTGCAGCCAGGCCTTCAGCGTGGCCGTGGCGTCGCGGGTGGCATTTTTCCTGTACGCAGGGTCGTTGAGCTGGTAGGGGTAGGCAGGGCTGCCGTACGGGTGGTAGCTGATGGCTCCGGTCATCCCCGTCGTATGGGCGTCGTAAGGGGAGCCCTGGACAGAACAAAACGGTGGGGTTGGCAATTTGTTATTGCTGATAGCCATTAGTAAGTTGTCAAGGCGAGATCGGTGGTTATATTTGTATTTCCCCTGGATGGTGTCTTGTATCCATATTCTATGAGGGGGAGAAGCGGCACCCAAAGGCCATTAAGTTGAGATCTCCCCCCCTCCTCCGCCCAACACACAGACACAGGCACACGCGCTTAAAATAGGCGATGTTTTAATCTTTCTGACTAATTTGAAAAACCTTTAATTGAATATTTCCCAATATAATTTTTTGAACCGCATAGACATTTTAAAGGCCCTACAGGTAGTGTCTTGATATCTACATTTCTCTCAAAGGTTCAAAAGATGTTTCCTTTTTTGCTATAGAAAATACAACAAAGCCTCCACTTAGCAATTTACTGCACTAATGCATTGCAAATCCAATTTGCAAATCAGAAGATATGCACCGTTTCGAATTGTTCAAATGCGATGTAATTAGCATTTTAATTCGCCCTTTAACGTTTAAATTGCACTTATTTAAGTCTGCATAATTCAAGAAAAGTTAAAGATATCGCTAACGAACTTGCTAACTTTCAGCACGTCTCTGAATCCCCCAGCTCGGGCAGTCACAGGAGCAACATCAGCCGATATACCCCGAGCACAACCTCGCTGCAACTTCCAGACACTCGCCTACTGCTTCTCAACAGGAAAACCAAGTAAGCGAGATCCTCAGATCGTTCATACCACCCCAAATAAAGACCTCATGACAATTTCTGCACCGCGTTTTACAGACAGAAAGCAAGTAGTTTCCCTGTCACTTTGCAGGGAGAGCGAACTACCCTGCTGCCATCCCCTCTCAGGATCTCGGCAGCGGCTCCAGACTCAAATTCCGGGTACAGGTCTTTGTGTATACGACTAGATACGTGTCTGACTCTGGGCGTGTGTGTTTATAAAACTATATAACCACCTAGACATGCAGCTTATTTATATAGTTTATGGTTTTATTTATATAGTTTATGCACAGAATACACACACGCAATCGCAAATGCTCCTTTTAACTAATAATAATAAGAAAGTGAAATCCAAAACTGCGGACACCACAACCATCTTGGGCTAAAGACAAGCTCACAGATCGCAAACAGATGCTCCTTTTCATTCCTAAAATCCAGTTAAACCATTAGCACAAAACACACTGAAAGTAAATAAAACCACACGGGGATAAAGCCCGCAGCGCCTCTAAACACCGACTTAAAAAGAGAGGGGGAAAGAGATAGAAAGAGACAGAAGGGGGGAGGGAGAGAGAAAAAGAAAGAGAAACCCTCCCCTATACTACTACAGCGAAAAATAAGGAGAAAAAAAAGGAGAGAAAGTGGGGAGGGGGGAATGAAGGTACCCAACCTAACTGACTGAAGCGATCCATATTTCTTTACTCAGGGCACCCGCCCGGCTTCACGAACCGCGGGACGAGCCCGGGTCCCAGGCCTGCCGGCACCACACTCGGCTGGAGCGCGGAGTGAACGGGGTGCCCCGGCCCGCCGCTCCGCCCGGCTCGGCTCGGTTCAGCTCGGCCGGGCTGGGCGCGTCCCCGACGGCCCCAGCCAGGCTGCGGAGCAGCGCGCAGCGCGATGTGGTGTAGTGCGCGGCTGGCGGCAGCAACACGGAGGCGGCGGAGGTGCGGGGCGCCCGGCTGTGCGGCGTGATGTCGGGGACTGATGGTAAGTGTGTGAGGAGAGAGGCTGAAGATGATGAGGATGAGAATGCGGATGCTAATGAAGAAGGAGAGGATTTCTCTTCGGTAGTTACCATGTAGGAGGGGAATCCCGTGGCGGGGTCTGTGGAGTACTGGAGAGGGCTGGTGAAGCCTGTGGCCGCAGCCTGGGCGGTGAAAGCTGCCGATCCCGGGTAAGGGCTGAACGCCGATCCCGACGAAGACCTAGCCAGCTCCTCGCTCCTGGGGGCCGCCAGCGCCGAAGCCCCGTACGCCGGGCAGGAGTACAGAGCCAGCGAGCCGGGGGGCTGGTAGAGGTAACCCTGAGGATAGGACATAGCTTGCACTGGCGTGCACAGGAGCAGGGAGGGGGCGAGGGTGACCGGCCCTGCTGCTGCCGCTGCTCCTGGCGCTGCTTTCGTGCTCTCCCTCTCCCTCCCTCCCTCCCTCTCTCTCTCTCCCGCCCGCCCGCCCTCTCTCTCTTTCTCTCCCTCTCTCCGGTTGGCTCTGTGCAGTTATGTAGAGAATCAGAATTGTTATATGCTCCCCCCGTGCGCACCCAGTCAGAATAAAAACAGGAGAAAAGGAGGGGGGAAAAAATAAAAAAAGAACAGCCCCTAAAAAAGGAAATTAAATAGAGCAGTTAGAAATCTAACCGGGAGGGCAAGGGCATCTGCGGGAGACGGAAGAGGAGAGGGTTAATAAAAAGATAAAGAGATGGAAAGGGAAAGAAACAGAAGGGGAAAAGGGAAGGGGGGAGGGGGGGAGAGAGAGAGAGAAGCGAGCCCCCGAAATCAGAAAAGTGGCTGCTGCATATGAAGTTCTCCCCGCCAGCCAGCCAGCTCCCCCAGCGCCTGCGAGCCTGTATTTTGGGGGAAGTATAGAGTCTGAAGTGAAGAGTTGAGGGAAGGAGCACTCGAGTTTCTGAGGGACATTGGAAAACGGAGCTGTCCGTCACCGCTGCTCATCTGCATAGCACGGCAGGCCCGCCCCCTCCCGCTCCGGCCCCGTCTCCTCCCGAGGCCGGCAGACAGGCAAGGAAGCAGCGAAGGCAGGCTTTGTAATGTAAGCCAGCCTCTCCGGCTGCGAGCACGCTGCTGAAGCCAAACGATGATACTGTTCATCAGCTCCTCTCCGGAACCGCGAAGCCATAAATACGCTTTCGCACACTCTTGATTACAGTCTCCCCCCTCCCATCTTTTCTCCCTCCTTCTTCCCTCAACCTTTCCTCCTCCCCCCTCCCCTCTCGCGCTTTCTATATCCACGCGGGAACAGAAAGGAATACACATTATAAATGTGCTCATCCGTTTACGCAAGCACGAGCCGTATGCACGCACGCGGACCTTAGCCGCGCTTACCGGCCAGCGCGCTGGTGCGCAGGGCCCGGCTGGAGGGCACGGGTCAGCGCGGAAGGGAGGAAGAGCGCGGAACTGTGCGAGTGCCGCCCTGCATGGCAGGGAAGAAGAGCAGTAACTCCTCACATTAGCCGATCCAGGATCGCTCTGCTCCTGACAGCGGGAGCTTTACAGTTTTGAAGTTGCCACGAACAGCCATGATCTAGTCATGGCGCGAGTTTTCACATGAAAAGAGAAAAGAAATGCCCTCATCTTTCTTTCATTTTTATTGCTCCTGGTCTGCTGTGTGTGGAAGAGGCCTGGGTGATTCCTTCCGGGGGGCTAGCTGACTCCCCCCTTCCTCTTTTCCTCCCTCCTTTCGCAGTTCAGATAAATCTCTTGGAACATGGTCACGATGTAATGAATTTTCCCAGTAACGTAATATCTTCCTCTGTCCCCTTCCTTCAGCTCTGGACATCATCAGCTTCTAGCCACCACCAGCTCCGGATACCGGGGGGGGGGGGGGGGGGGGGGGAAGTAGGGGAGGAACAAGGCGCTGGCACCGCTCTTTTCTTCTCAGTGCAAACATAAACAACCACATATATGTGCGCCTGCATATCTTTTTTAATGATTAGTCCAGAGGGACCCTTCAGCAACCGGCAGTGAACTGCCCCCACCGATGCTCTGGCCTTCGCTTCCCGGGACGAGGCGTTGCGTCGTCGGGCCGCCCTGATGTACCCGGCGGCCAGTGTCCCGTGTCCTTCCTGCCTCTCTGCCCTGACCCCCGGCCCCAGGGCACAGGGTGAGGCTCTGCATATCCCACTGAGCCGCTCTCGGTGGGCCCGAAGCGCACTAGGCCGCTCCATGCCCCCCGGCCCGCACCTGCGGCCCACAAGGCCGCCCCGGCAGGACCGGGCCGCAAGTGGGGACGGAGCGGCCGGACTGGAAGCCACCTCGCTCCCCTCAAACCCTTCATCCACAGCCCCGTCAGCTCACTAGCCTGGGACGAGCTGGAAACAGCAACAGCAAAATTGTTAGGAGCTCACACACACACAGGGAAAAAGGGGGGTGGGGGGCAATAACTGCTCATCAAACCGTGAATTTTATTTTCCCAACATCTTTGAGTGAGCACTTATCCCTTATTTAAGCAAATGAAATCGCCTGACGTTTATGGCTGACTTCCCCAGGTAATTTCGGTTAGGTAGGTAGTACGGGGAAAATGCGCCTGGTGAGGCACGGCGAGGAATCGGCTTGGGGAATCGACGGGAAGGGAGAAGGCTGTAGCTGGAGAACTGCAGGTTAGCAGGGCAGGCTACTGTTAACCAATTAAACATGCAGGTAATAATAATAATAAAAATAATCAGAAAAATAGACTTCGAGAAGTCGTTTCAAACAGGGAAAATGCCATATTGAAACTACGGGCAAGAACCAAGATGCGCATACTGTCTGAAGCAATGCGAGCTTTCCATTTTATTTTTCAATTATTTTTTTTTTTGGGGGGGGTATTTTTTTTTTATTATTCATTCATTTCCCTTTCTCTCATCCTTTTCTGTGAAACTCACATACCAGTTCACCTACCTCTACCCCTGCACGCAGCAGTGGAGATCTGGCCACCAGACATACCAGATTAATCTCTATCCAGATCTATCAACTGGCCTGTAAAAGAGGCAATCCTTTAAAAAAGCAGGCGAGGGGGAGGAGGTTAACACCAACAGGTATTTCTTGTCATTAAGTTCCGACTTCCTGATAAGAGAGTGATAAACAACGGGTAAACTCAGTGCAACAGATTATAGAAAATACATTTGCTTCCCTGTTTGGTTATTAATGCGCATATATTAAATAAAAATAAGAACTCTAAAACCAAGAGCTTTATATAAAACACATTCATATTTCAGTAGTTCTATGGAATAATCGATATCATGTGATTACATATGAATAGTCAATTCCTGTGTTCTGCAGACCAATTTCTAAGTATACGAGCTCTGCTTCTGAAAGGAGCAGCAGCTGGAGAGCTGAAAATGCAAAATTAATTATAACATTATAAAGTCATACATGAATCTCTCTAAGCCAACCTGCATGCCTTGCAAAATGTGCTATACTCTCTGCATTTTCATTTGGGAAGCCAAGCCTCTTCTTTTCCAGCAGGAGTGGTGTAAGTGTTTATCTACGCGAATTGATTGCTTTTAGTTCCTCCTCTTTAATAGTTAGTGGAACAATACAGATTGGGAATACAATGGCCGCTGTGTTTCCATTATAACAACGGATTAATGCTATTAAGAGAGTGTTACAGTTATGACCTGGGAAGAGTGTTTAAATAAATACCGTGGTCCCAGGAGAATTGATACAATTCAGTTCAGACCGTGTGTAGATACGCAGAAACACATATGCACACACACGAGAGATACAAATCTCCGTACATACCTACATGCCTGTATGTTGTACACGCAAAGCATACGTGCCCACCCGTGTGAAACGTAGGTGCTGCTTTTTCCTCCATCTGCGTGTCTTTCCTCTATGAAAATACTTTTTTTGTGATTTCAGTGGGAGGAATGTTTCAGTCAGAAACATTGCTCCCCTTCCCCCAAACACAAAGAGCAACAGATTATATTTCTGATATTTTAATTTCTGCAGTCCAAAAATATTGTTTTATATACAGAAACGGGGTTAATTTCGCAATCAGAGATTTAATGAAGTATTGTAATTTCAAAAGACAAGTTCTTGCATTGATTTGATTTGCATTAATTTTTATATGGCTTCAGAAAGCATGGATCTACCCACTGCAAGGAGACGGTATGCATTTTATTACAAGTACACCACTAATTTGACTCTGCACAATGTGGAGAACGAGCAGCTTAGTGGGGTCATTTAAATATAGCTGGCGGAGTCCTTGCGATAAACAAACCAGAAAACCGCGTCAGTAACATTTTTAAATACCGGTCAGTGTACGTGGCCGGGTTTAACTTCTTCTCAGAGTTATCTCTCTTTGATTTGAATACCTTTCGCGGGGAAGAGATTTTTCATTTGCCTAGCTCCACCGCCGAAATCTAATTTTCCCATAGTACTGCCCGTTACGCCGTCTAACTTGCGCTGTTAAACAGTGGAATAGTATTACATGCTCTTTTTATTGATATTAACTGTAGCAAATTAACATGCCGGCACAGAGACATCAAGACTTTACACACTGCTTTTTTTTATTTGAATGATCTATTCACTAGTTCAGCATTTACCTTCCCAGATTTTAAGCGGTGCTCTCGCTTTGTCTTCTTTAATTCAGTTTACTCCAGCACAGCTAAGAAGGTAATCAAGAGCTTTCCCCCCCGTCTTTCTCTCCCCTCTAGCCCCTTTTCATTGCCGTCCTGGGAGACAGGTTTTGCGGTTTGTCATTTATTAGCTACGTCTCCTTGCACTACTGACAGGGGCTGAAGTTTTCGGGGGAGTGAAGTTGAAAGCCACGTCTGTGGGAACCACGCTCCTGCTCTCCAGCCGCTGCTGCCGGTGGCCACTCACTCAGGTCCCCGCTCCATGCTGTTTTACTCAGGTAAAAGGGAAAAAGAAAGAGAAAGAAAGAAAGAAGGAACGAAGGGAAGAAATACATATAAATACACATCTTTTTGGCGGGAAGGAGAGACGTCTCCGGCCAGGAGGGCTGGCCTTGGGCCGGAGAGGGGCACCAGCCAGTCGCCCGCACAATGCCGGTTGCCCAATTGCCATAACACTGGTCACAGTAACTTTTTAAGCAGAGCGAAGTGAGACTTTGTGGGGTTTGGAGATGTAGCACGATGCGCGGCAGTTTCCTGCGACATAACCACACGATGGTCTGGGAATGCTTTCTCCTTTCTTTCATGAAATAGGGGATCGCCACCATCTCCCGGAGACAACAACGGGAAATAATAGACTATTGTATTTAAAAATAACAAATGACACACGCATACTGTGCAAGCGGAGTTGTCCAGTTTTCTAGTTTAGAGGAGCCCAGTTTGCAGGGCTTCTTCTGGGCGAGGTGCTGTTCAAGAGCGACCTGTCCGAACGAGGGGAGGCAGAGAGGACGGGGGTAGCCGCGGATATGCTCGCAGGAGTAAAGCAAAAAAGGGGAGAGAACAGTGAGGGAGAAAGGAAAAGAAGGAACTTTTCTTTCCCCGTCTTCAGGATAAGATCGTTAGTGCGAGCGGCGTGTGGGAGGGGGCGCTGTGGCAGTGGATTCC